ACCTTAATGATTCTATGATTCTATGCTTTGTGCATCCTGAGATCTGAAATGCTGACAAAGCTCATTTTTTGACAGGGCAGCCAAATATCTCTGCTTTTGTGAAATTAAATCTTAGAGTCAAATTGGGGTAGATCTTGGCTCCGAGCGGAACCTCTTTTTTATGCCTGGCAGATATCTAACCTGAAATGGCTTGCTTCTGTCACAGATCTATGGAGGGGATATGTTGTGTTAATTCACTGATGTTTGAATTCTGTTCAGGTAGAGTGGGATAAAGATCTTGCAGTTTATAAGCTTTACTTGTAAAAAGTAAAGGTTAGTTTAGGTCCCAGATCAAGTGTTTAGATTAGAAGAGGTATAATTCACCTACTACTTTTGCTCAGCTGCTAAGATTGTGGGTAATTGGTCAAGTAGACATAACTGTAAAGATTATTTTTGATACCTAGGTATTCATTGCTTTCCCATGCTTTTTCTGTTAATTTTCCAATTAATTCCACTGATTCTACTACCACGTAGTGGTTCAGTTCCTTTTCAGGACAGGACCTGAAGCCTGTTGAGCAAGACATAGGTATTAACTGTGGACTTATTACTCAAGAACAAGCATGACTTTTGTTAGGTTTTCAAGAAGTCCGTCCATTTTTATTGTAACCTCCAATTTTTGTGAGGATCTGTTTGATACAGCTCTGGTGCAGAGCTTTGGTTGTAATGGATTTGCATCTTGACCACTAAAAATTTGGCTTCTTGGCATTCCACCTTTCCATTCTACACTCTGCAGTAGCTAATACGATAACTGATGGTTGAAACTAGCAGATTTTTTAGTAGTTATGAAATGTCTGCTTTTATTTAAAAGTTGATGGGTTTCAGTTGTATCACAGATGCAAAGTTGGTGCGTGCAATTTAGCAGAAAGTCTGATTCTGTAATGGTTATTTTTAAAATACTAACCAGAATCATATGTCTTCTCTTAATCTCCTGTTGCTTCTGGAACACCAGGGATAGCATAGCCGTCTGTTCTGGTGGCACTGTTATGACCATTCCCAGTAATAGTAGATAACGTAATGATCAAATTGACTGACTAGGAGGCTGGCAATATTTGTACTGAACTTGAGAATATTTTATTAGAACAGCTCTTGAAAAGTAGATACTTCATGGACATAGCAGAATTACCTGAAGTAAGTTCAAATATATATTCAAAACATTCAAGGGAGAATGGGGAGGGGACATCAAATATGTTGAATGCTGTAAATTTCCAACAAACTTTTGTCTCTTGCTTCTTTCATTCTGCAATGTGTAGGGTATTGAAGCCCCCTGGAGGAGGTTCTAGCAATCTCTTTGGGAGTACAGAAGAAATTTCTTCTTCAGGCAGGCCACACCGGATGGCATCCAATATCTTTGGAGCATCAGAAGAACCTCAAAATATTCCAAAAAGAACAAACCCTCCAGGTAAGAGCAGCTACCTCCTTCAGCGCAACTGGGCTCTGAATTGCAGCACAGAACTGCTTTTGTATTCCTAAAGTGGAACACTGTGATCTGGCTGTCTTTTTATGTTGCGTTTTTATAAATTGAGTGGGATTGAACAATACATCTGTTCAGACTTCTGAATATATGAATATTTCAGTGATCTACATGTTCACAGACTTTTTAGCACATCATCCAAGTCTAATTCTTTCCGAGTTGAGGTCAAGGAAATGATGAAAGGAAACTGCTTGTATTCTAGAGCTGTGTCATCAGTTAGCTGCAGTGAGTACAGCTGTGAATCTAAGATCCTCTAGTGAATTCTTGTAACAAAGGATTTCAACTAGTATATTCAGGCAAGCAAAAGTAAGTCTCTAGGCAGTAGGGTTCTAGAAGTCTTTGAATTCTTTTTTTTTTTTTTTTTTTTTTTAATATACTGTGGAAAAACAAAGTCATCTAGAAAAAAAAAAAAAATCTAACAACTGCCTTGCAGGGGGAAAAGAAAGTGGTATTTTTGAGGATTCTAGTTCTGCTCAGCCTCGTCCACGCATGAATCCACCTGGTGGGAAGACAAGCGATATCTTTGGGTCTCCTGTATCTACCAGTGTTGTGCGAGCACACCCAAACAAGCCTAAGGTATTTGTACTTCTTTCGCTGTCAAACCAAGAAGGTAGCAGCTCAGCGAGTCGTCTTACAGCCTTGTCGCAGTGCAATGCCTGTATTCTTTTTAAGATGACAGACCTGAATTATGCATAGGGTAACTTCAAATTAGACAGTTATTCCCAAAGTCTCTTTCTGATAGCTTGTTATCTTTGGTATATCAGATCTCAGCATGCTCTGCAGTTTGCAGTAAAACTATTAATTAGACTGCGGATGTGTGTTCAAAAAAAAAAAAAAAGAAAAGAAAAAAAAATGCTTCTGAAGCCTTTGGTCTTCCTTGTGAGTGAGGTACAGCTGGAGCTCGTGGCACACAGCCAAGAGGCATTTAGGCTAGATAGAGAGAAGATACTTCTCTTTATTCTGCAATTTGGCAGAGGTGATCTTGATACCAATTCTGGAAAGTCTGTGAACAGCAGTGAGCTACAGTCATAAATCTTCATGTGGCCTGGCTGTGCCCTTCACCTCTCTTAAATATTTGTATCTACATTCAACATGAAAGCACTTTAGCAGGAGACTAAGCTTAAGTCATCAACAGTGAAAAAGCTAACTCAAGATCAGCTTTGAGTGTCAGATCCAGCATGCACTTGATTTTGTGATGTCAGACAAAAGTGTGTCTTGCTATGTCAGTTGTTATTTTTTGATCTTAAAGCTGGGATGTGTAATAGTTGGAGAGGTTTGTAGTTATGACCAAATCTGGTTTTGGGAAAAAGGAGGATACGTTGCCAATTACTTTATTTCTGTATTTAAATGTTCTGTATTTGGATTTGCAACCTGCTGCCTTACTCTAAGTAGATACTATTAAGTGAGTAGCCTCTATGTTGGCAAAGTTTTTGACATGTCAGATAGCACGTAAACTTAACATCCCATGAAACACAGCACACTGTCTTTGTGCTGAAAAAGTAGTAGCATTTTTCCATTTTTCCTGGAACCCTAGGAAGACAAGATTAGTCCAATTTAACTTTTTTTCTCCTTTTTCCCCTTAAATTTGAAGGTGCTGGTAGTGTGGTTTTGCCTAACTTTTTATGCAGACTCTGGAGTGTATTTTGAGGGATTAAGGTCATAAGAAAGGAGGAAAGAAAAAAAAGACCAGGAGCTAGGTTTTGTCGGGAGTAGTGCTGTTGGTGTAGGAAAGGGCTTTGTTTTGTTCCTCTGTACCCCTTTATTGGGCTGGTCTCAGATACTTTCTAGTTGCTTTTTAAAAAATGTTACACATTAATTCCTGTGAATTCCTGACTAAATGGAGGATAACACTTCGGAAATTCCTGTCTTTAATTAGAGCATTGGAATTGTGGGAAATACTGGGATGGAAAGGAGATAGCATATTTGCAAAATCACTGCAAGTTGAATTTCATGGGTGAGAAAACATGCAAGCTTTTCTGAAGTATTGCTGTGTATTTCTGACAATCAGTTGGGATTGTTGGAGAAATGGTCTTAAAAGGTTTTGTTAATTACCTGACTGTTCGGGTCACTATGGATACTCACTGAAGACAGTAATTGCTGAATATAAATAGGGTGCTCAAGGGCTGCTTGTGTTCTAGTTGTGAATGCCAACTTCTCCTGGGTGGTAGTGGGTGCTTGACAAGAATGGTAATTCCAGACCTTTGGACTGAACTGTTCACCACAGACAAGTTTTAAGCCTCTAATGAACTAATGAGGCGTCTTCATCTGTGTTTCAATGAATTGTCTGAGATGTGCACCTTGATGTAACATAGGAGTTGCCTTCTACCACTGCTTTTGGGATTATGTAGCGGTGGAGGGGATGCAGGGCTGCACACACAGTGTCTGTAGCTGTTGGCTTTTACCATGATAAATGTATAAACTTAGATCAGAAACAAAGCAAAACTTTCTGAAGGATTTTGTGACAGAGTTACTTTTTGAGAACGATGATATACTGAGATAGGTTTTGGTTTCTTTGCAGGATCACATTGTCTTGAAAGAAGATGAGACACCAAAGAAGCTAGAAGGTCAGCAAGAGAAATTCCTGTCTCTGTTCTCTTTGAGAAGATAAGCTCTGAGGAACAGTTTCTTATGCTTCCTCTTAAAAATATAAGACTAAGACTGGTGTTTAGGATAATATAACTGAGAAGTTTTCCTTCTCTTAGTCAGAAATTTAACCACTTCACTTCAGGGAAATGCTTCTCTTCCTCTTATTAAGGAGAACTCCAAAGGCATAAGTCTTGATACGCTACGTGTGTGTATACTTTGCTTGATACCATGTGTGTATATATAGAAAAACATCCTATCAGATTGCTTCTTCCTCCCTTGCCATCTCCTTCAAGTGTATAATATTGGCCTTCTGTAGGTGTAAGTAACGAATAGCTGACTGACAAAATGTATTATTGCTCAGCTAGTTATTGTTAAAGAAGGATGGGAATGCTGCTTTCAAGCTCAGTATGAAAGGATTCATTGATATGTTGCATCTCTTAACTGCCTGAAACTGCCAAAATAATTCTGAAGGTATATTGCTTAGCCTACATATCTTTGTTAGAAAGATTGCTGAAGGAAAAGAGGAATTGTTGCGAAAAGTGAAATTCTTTCTCAGCACCTCTTTCCTTCAGGAAAAATGAACAGATAGAGAGAAACCTTAATGGATGGGAGATGTGGGAAATAATGCAGCCAACAGAAGATGAGGTACTTTGTGCACCACTGAATAGCAAGTTGATCTAATCCCTTTTCTTTTTATTCAGCTACAGAAAACATCAAACCACAGCTGGAAGATGGAGGCGAGAAAAAAGATCTGGGCAAGGAGGAGCGATGCAAGGAGCCAGAACCCAAGATAGACAATCACGAGCCCCGATTAGGGCCAAGGCCACGCTCACACAATAAAGTTCTTAATCCGCCGGGGGGGAAATCCAGCATTGCGTTCTATTAGGGTCATTCGTTCACTTTCACTAACGGAATCTGCACAGAAACTCTTGTCTGTGGTTGTGAGGTCAGTTTATAGACTATTGTTTGTGGATAGATTCTTAGGCAGACGAATGAGGGTTATGCTAAAGTGTGTAGGAAGGATAACCTGATGATTTGGGGAGGGAGGGTTAGGGAGGGAACGGGTGCGCTGTGGAAGATGTGAGTATTGGCCTGCCTGGGTGGGTGGCAGAGGGGGGCATTAGTGTAACTTTGTGAAAGATCAGTGCTACTTTGTGGTGAGTTCATCAGACTGTTAGGTTCTTAGCTAGCTAGTGGCTCAGGACGCTCTTGTGGAGTCAGGCTTATCCATACAGTCAACACATGAAACATTGTGAATGGGTAGGGACCTGGAGGTCACACCTGAACGATTCTGAAGCATGGCAGGGAGGCTATGCTTTCCTCCAGGCAATAGGATGCAGCTTCACAGTGTGAGTTGACTTGCAGTCACTTTAATGTAAATGCATTCCGCCGGAACAAGTAGTGCTACCGTGGTTTTGAGTGTCTTCAGTCTTTGGTTCTGTCTTTCTCCTTTCTTGCTTTGCAGCACATGATTGTTGATACAAGGACAAAACATACTGAAAGTTTCTTTTATACTCACAAACCATCATATGTTAATAAATATCACGGTCTTCCCCTCCCCAGAGTATTCAGGCCTTTCTGATGCCTTCAGTAATCTGCTGATTACTACAACTAGCTTTTACAAGTGATAATATCAGTCCAACATACTGTTTCCTGTAGGTGCTTCTAGAAGGCTTTTATTTAAAGTATCCTGGTTGAGTGCTTGCACATTTTCTGGTAAAGATGTGGGTGCAAACAGTAGCTTTATGGTACTCTCTGAACAGAAGCAACTTAAAGTGTACCATTACTGTGGAGAATATACTGAGGTGTCCAGCCAGCTAGCTTTGACCCAACCTGTATAGAAATGCCTTAGCTTCTGCAAAGGTTTTTACTTTGTACCCTGCAGAAACCAGGACTGTTCTACTGTCTTCACCACAGTGCATTTTTTTTGTTTGTTTGCCTGTGCTGACTCTGTTAGTGAATTCTCTTGTCTTTGGTCAGCCTTACGTTTGCCTTTGACTGCCTCAGATTTTTGTTGATAAGGTTGGGAGAACTACATGGATTCTCCCCAAACCACAGTTGTAGTTGTTTGAGACATGCTGTAGACTATCCTAGTTGGAGAAACAAAGACTTTAGCAATACAAACCTTTTGGTTGTGCTGGCTATCTTAAATCATGTTTGGAAGATGTTTTGCACAAACATTTGTTGGGGAGGGTAGCTCCCATCATTTGTTCTCCAAATGGACTTTCTGATCGTATCCAGAGCTTTGATATATGAATGTTAACATTAGGTGCTTACTGTTCAATGTATTTAATAGTGACTTTTTAAATTTGACATATCGAAACAGGAGTTGTTCAGGTACACCAAAGAACAAGTGGCCTTATCTGCATATATCCACTGCTGTTCTAGCCCAGTTTCCCTCAGAACTGCTACTGTTTAGAGGGGACTATCTCTGGGCCAGGTGCTAAAACATTCTGTGATTATAGTGCTCCTAGACTGCTCAGTTCCGTTGATGTCAGAAGTGGTGGATGAAGACTTAGTTGCCTTTTCAAATAGTGAAAGTGAAATATATGGGGCAGTACTAAGGGTAGAAATAGCCATGGAAAATAGGGATTTCAATGCCTTTGTACCCTTCAGATAGATTTGGAGCTCCCTGTTATTTGGTGCCCTAGGAAAACAAGACGGTGATTCTAACTGCAGCCTTGTAATGGATCTATGTTACTTCCAAACATGTATTTCCTAGCAGCTACTCTTGAGTCTGTGCTGTCTAGCCTCTGGCTGAGTCTCAGACACACCGATCTGTTTCAGTTTTTTTCAGTGTTTCCAGTACTTGACAGGATTTTAAGAGGCTACCATGTGGAAAAGAGGATGCAGAGGCTGCTTTCTGCATTGAAGGGTCTGGTGTAATTGACGCTGTCTGTAATACTGAGCTTAGACTTCGCATCTTTTAGTACCTGATGTGCATTGGCTACAGTGCCTGTCTTTTAAACAGCAACTTCCAACTAGGCCTTAAATTAGTTAAACTGTGTTCATTTTCTTGCATTTCTTGCTTTGGAATCTAAACCATGTTTTCAACTCATCAAGTAAGATTGATAAGAACACTTCTCCGGGACAGAAGGGGATGGAAATCAAATGATAAATCATGCAATTGTCAATAAACCTCTGTATTTTGTTACTTCATTATGTGCTGTAGATGTCTGCTTTTATAAATTAATCGGTAATCTAGTTCAACCTAGATACACTGGTGAATTTTGTTATCTGAAATTGGAAAACTTGCACAAATCTTTTCAGGCCTTCTGCAGTGGGGGGAGTATGCTTTGGAGATGTGACATCATGCTGAAGGTTGCTCTTGAGACAAGCACCTCTTATCCCTGGGCAGTGTGAAGGGACAGTAGCAAGGGCGGGCTGTTCAGGTCAATGACTTTTTGTGGGCAACATTCCATGGTGTTCTGTACAACACAGGGATGCTGTTATGTTCTTCAGCAATAGTGTAAATAGACTTAAATATTCAAATATTTTAAATATTTAAGTCTCTTTGTAGAATAGTGTAATAATTCCCCTTGAGCGTGGGTTGCTCTTTAATGTGGAGAAGTCATACCCCCACTTCTACGCTTCCGGTAAGTGCGTAAAACTCTCCTCATGTGCCAAACTGTCTTGGCTGACAGCGTGCAGGTAACCACAGCTACAGAAACTGCAGTTCCGGGTGAGCTGGACATGGTGGCGTTTCAGCCAGGGTGTTCTAAATCTGCTGCATTCATCCCTTAATTTACAGATTGGGGTTCCCTACAGAGCCTCTCGTTTGTCAGTTATAGTTCAGAACTCTTCTCTCAAGCATGCACAATGCTTTGGGTAGGGTCTGCTTAGTGTGGGAACTTGTGAATATCCTTGATAGGTAACATATTGGCAACAAAGGACTGTCCTTCCTTTGAACTGCTGCCAACTAGTAGACTACAATATAGTTTCACTTTGCAACTCTATACATTACCTCATTACTTTGCCCCTAAATTGAAGGTTTGTAGCTTAAACACTTAGGATAGAATATTATCCAGGTTACTGTTTCAGTCTTGGAAGGAAAATGATTATATCTGTTATAATAAGCTTAGCTTGGAAAGTGGTTAAAGGATGACTTGCATGCTTTCATAAGTCGTGTACAATTCTAGGCATAGCTGCTGCTTGGTTCCTAAATACGTCACCATGCCTGTCCAGTAGAAGACAACACTGTTCTAATGAACTGCAGTGTGTCACCTCTCCTGATCGACCACATCAGTGCATGGTTTCCCCTATTAAGACTGCTGGCTGCCACGCAACACCTTTTAAGCAAGCACCGTCTGATACTGTCCTTCTGTTATATCACTGCATAACCATTTGTAAACAGCCCACTTTGCACTCTTAATGAGGAAGATTAATGTCCCCTCTGTCAGTGTTTTAAGTAGCATTACTGTGGTTTTTTGAAGGATTTGTAGAAGTTAATCAGACTTGGAGTATCTAAAGTACATTCTTGGGGCTTGTTTAGCGAGAGAACATACGTAGTGTTGGGTGGACGCAACTATTTAAGCACTAAATGAGTAACTGTTGTGGTACATTCCCTGAAATATTCTCGCAGTTGCTTATGTATAATAGGATCACACTGGCGCATGGACATCCAAGTATCTTGGCTACCTGTGTGATTGTCTGGTGGAGAACAGTTTGCTGCTTGCCTGTCAACATGTGGAGTGTGCTCAGTTGTCAGCTTGCATCTTTGTAGTTGGGAAGCCAGCTGGCCACTGAGCATTTTGTTCTCTGATGTGTCTGCTATTGAATTTCAACTTGAAGCTCTGCTGAAATCCTGTATCACTTCCCTTTGGAAAAGGTGATGGTTTGGAATGTTGTTGAGGCTGGAGTTCTCCATTGTTTATTTCTCTTGAAGAATAAAGTAGGGTCACAACCAGGATGCTGTGCTATACTAGACTAGAGAAAGCAAAAGGATTCTGACCTCTGTGAGCTAGGCTATCTGCTGGTAACAGAGGGCAGGATTACAGAGAGACTTTGGCACATGATAAGCCATTTATGTCATGACTTGTTATCAGCTGTGCAAGAAGTAGACTGGGTAATGATTTATTGCTAGCCAAGAACTGATGCACAGAACCCCCACAGCCAGCCAGCAGACTAAGCTGGATGTCCAGGCTGCTAGCCCAATTGCTACTTGCCCCTCCCTCTGAAAACACAGTCAATGAGCAGAAAGAGCAGTTTTTAATTATTGTGCTAAACTTGCAACCCTGATTATTGTTTTATCTTGCTTCTGGGGATGAAGATTATGCTCTCTTGAATCTGGCTTTCCCTTTCTTTCCTCCTCAAGCAGGTCAAAATGCTGGCCATAACCAGCAAGAATGCAGTAATTTGCTTTACCCATCAGCCTCTCCAGCTCCAGCCAGCTTCTAATTCTGGTCTCTTACCCTACTGCTTTCCTCCTCCCTCCTACATATACATAGATTTTAAATAGTAGCTATGCTGCCTTAGGCTTCTTGATTATCCCTCCCCATGCTACTGCTATATGCCACTTAAGCCAAAAACACAAACAGCTGTGTCTCAAAGTGTATCAGAAGCATAGAGGTCTATCAGAAGTAACTGGGAACTTAATGTTGTGCTAGTTTCTCCATAAAGATGATGGCTTTTCCTCCGCTGCCACCTCCCACAAACTTACATAAACATGTGCTCCACAGTGTAAAAGTTTTTAACGTTCTGGCTTCTGGGAGCATGCTCCGGAGCGTAATGAGCAAAAAAAATCCACCTCAGTGTGAGTTGCCTGAACCAAAGTCCACTTTCAAGTTTCAGTTTATTTTTTAGGAGCTGCAATCCACTGTCTCTTACGCAAGAGGAAGGTTCTGCCAGAGAATCTTGTTGAAAAGCTTACCACCACTTCCAGGGCTGCCCAAGGCTAGGGAGAGGCTGAGGGGTGGGGGTTTTCAGTTACCTGTGTACGTGATCAGTGCAACACTACAAAAATTAAACAAAAACATTGTTGATTGTTTCTTTCCATTTCTTGCAGCATGTTGGCCTCTGTGAATGCCACCCTTCCATTTTCATGACAAACTCAAACCAAGTAGAGAGCCATGCAATTACTTTGTAAAAAGTGTCTCAGAAGCGAGCTCTGGCATCTCAATAGCAGGTGTCAAGCCAGAATCGGGAAGACAGGCAAAGTGAAGGTGGCTTTCCTGTCATCAGTGGAGTAATTAATGAAAAAAGCAGTTAAACAGGAATAACTGGAAGCTGTTGATGAACTCTGATGAAGATGAGCAGGTACTGTTGCAGGAAGGCTCATTCTCTGCGACCTTATTGTTGTTATGTCAGCTTCCAGCTTTATTAATCTGAGCTGAAAGACATAAGCAGTCTTTTCAGAACAACTCTTTGCCTGTAAGAGGCTCTAGTAGAATCCTCCCAGCCTAAAGGTGGTCTTTGTGCAACAGACTCGAAGGTCACTAGAATCTCCTCATGTCTTCAGTTACATGAAAGGGTTTCTACAAACACGTGCCGGGATCTTTGTACAATGGCATCTACAAAAACCTCTGCAGCCAGCAGTTCTCCTTCTAGGTGGTGAATGTATATGCTTCACAGTGAAACCTAGTAGAGCAGGTAGTGAGATTTCCAGTGCTACATCGTCATGAACCTTGTTAACCAGATCGTTAAGTAGATTTTAAGGAAAGTATGTCACAACTCTTCTTCAAAACAGAAGAGTAAAGTTTCTTTTCTGGTAATTCAGAAGTAGATTATGGGATGGCCAACAGGAATGGCTGGCTTTTGAGCTTCTGTGAAGAACCAAGTACAGGACTTTCAGTGAGTATCCCAGCACTTGTTACAGGACCAACCCTCAACTCAAACCCATTGAGTTTAGCTGCAGCTGAGAAAACTGATGACTTCTTGCCAGCCAGGCTGAAGTCACTGCTTTTAAGCCAGACATTGGTAGTATTGACACAGAAAATCAGCTCTGTTGAACACATACTTTCTTCTGAACACAAGCCTCCAACGTGAGTATATAGTACTGCTACATGTGGTTTTTCATAATTGCATTTGGAAATTCACCATGGGATTTTTCCACTATGAAAAAATGCAACTGCAGGATTTCCGCACTGAAAAGTAGTACAGTGACTGAAGGCTGAGGGATGTACTTAAAGCCACAGTCTAGCAGGAGTCCAGTTTCCAGCTGAGTGAAAACACTGGTAAGGCCTCACATGGAGTACTAAGTCCAGTTTTGGGCTCCCCAGTATGAGAGAGATGTGACTTAAGGAGGCAGTGCAGCGATGGGCCACAAAGGTGGTAAATGGACTGGAGCATCTTTCATAGGAGGAGAGGCCGAGAGAGCTGGGGCTGTTCAGCCTGGAGAAGAGATGGCTCAGGGAGATCTTATCAGTGTGTTCAAGCACCTGCCGGGAGGGAGTGAGGACGAGGGAGCCAGACTCTTCTCTGGACAAGAGGCAACAGGCACAAGCTAAACCACATGAAATTCCACCTGAACACAAGGAAGCACTTTTTTACTGTGAGGGCGGTCAAACGCTGGGACAGGTCACCCAGAGAGGTTGCAGAGTCTCCGGCTGTGGAGATGCTCAAACTCTGACCGGACACGGTCCTGGGCAACCTGCTCCGGCTGACCCTGCCTGAGCAGGGGGTGTTGGACTAGATGATCTCAGGAGGTCCCTGCCAAACTAAAGGAGTCTGTGATTTTGCAGTTCTCTGACTTCTCGCCCTACCCCCCAACTTCTGCTGCACCAGCCTCCAACAGGGAAATCCTTTCATTGTCTGTGGTGTGAAATGAATTCACGGTGTAACTTAAAACTTAGAAGACCTTGCTCTCTGAACACATTCTCTTCAGTAAATCAGTTTACGAAAACTTTACTTTGATGGGTGGATTTGTCTTCTGTGACATCTACTTAAAATGTGACTACTGGATGCTGTCAGTGCCTAAATTGCTTTCAATCTACTAGTGTTTATATTAAATGCAACTTGAACAGAGCTGCTCTTTCTCTTAAGAATTTGTAATAATTTACATAAATCATTCACTTCAGCATTCCTTGTACTTGGCTATGTTAAAGTTTACTTCATTCTTAAAGCATTCTTTGTGCTTTTGTAAACACTGTGTGAGTGTTTGTGAGCCTTTTGCATAGTGAAAAGCGCAGTTAGCTGAGTAAAATAAGCCTCTAGCATTCATGAGTAAGAGCACCCTAGTTTAAAGGACAGAATTTCAGATCAAAACCTTTTATGCTTTTGAAGGCAAATGAGTAGGCACAGCTTACGGAAGCATTTCTAGCAAGGCAATAAGCAACTAAGCTAGGCTTGTGTGCAAAAGGTAATCGATTTGATTAATTCAGTCTCCTGCCTAAACAATAATGATGGTGTCACTTGCATGGATATGTAATTTGTGAAAGATGCAAGCTAATCTAGAGCAGTAACTGAAACAGCAGGCCTACCAAGGTATGTGGATTAGCAAGTGCTGATGTACAGGATTCTTGTAATGGAGAAACAGTGGTAGACCAGGCAGGCACACCTTATGCAGGCAGTTTTGATGCAAGAGTGAAAAACAACTATCCAATGGCTTATGAACAACCTTCAGCGAGGTTAGTTTCACCTACTGTAGTGTAGTTCTTAAAGTGTCCCATGCAGGTTTCTGTATGTTTGAGAATGCCTAAGAACCCTTCACTGGTGTGCCAGGCATAAGGAAGTGGAAACATTCCCTTTCTGTACACAATTCCCTTCAAGATTCCCTTTAAAGATGTTTAAAATACACATGCTAAAAATCCACTTTCAAACAGAAGTGATCAGTGCTGTGTCTGGCAGCAGTCACTGTTCTCACACTGCGAAGGTTCAGCTGACAGAGCCTTCGTCTCCTGTGAAGGTTCAGCTGACAGAGCCTTCGTCTCCTGTTTCATCATCAAGGAGCGGTGCTGCATCTGCAGGGTCTCTTTCCTCCTGCTCCACAGGTGCTCCCTTTCTTGTTCTGTTCAGTGTCCCACCCTAGAAATTCAAAGAATCGATTACTGACAAAAAGGATACTGTTCTTCCTGTACACATATATTGCTACACCTGTGTCCTGGCCCTTCCCCTCACCTTCTTGCAAAAAAATACAGCTGCCAATAGCTTGATACTAGGTAAGAGTGCTATGCACTGCATCAATATTTTAGCAGATAGTTCTCTTTTTATGCAGTCCCATTTTTATGTCAGGGGAATTATTTATATACACACCGAACAGCTATTACATCAATAAAACCAACTTCGGTGATGCAAGGCTATTCTTCACCTTTTATCACACTTACCTGTTTCTTGTCCACAACATTGAGGCTAACGGAGGCAACAATGCATGCAATAGTGTTTGCCAACATAAAGATCATCATCTGTTGCCAGCGCCACAGGGGGATCTTTAATTCACTAGAAAAAGCCAAAACAGGATAGAACAACTAGTCATTTGAAGATATTTAAGGCACCTTTACAGTTCCTTGCAGCATCAGGTTGCAAAGACACTGATTTCTGTTCACACCGCTCCACTTAAGCACTGTTGATGTCTCTGCTTGGAAAAAAAAAGCATTCTCACCTGGACTTTGTTCCTAGAATGTGTCCAACGATCAGATTCGAAAGGCCAACGCCAATCATCTGCACAGAAGTTGCAAGCCCCATAGCTGTCCCTAAAGTTGCTTGGGGGACCACAAGAGGTATGGATGGCCACATACTAGCCTGGTAGGAGTAATGAGAAGAGGAATTAACTCAAAGCCTTATTTAAAGGTGTTAGATCGTTATTGGTTCAAAAAGGAGTTATTCTCACTGAATCAACATTTATACTTTCTCTTCAAAAAATCTGGTGTTTATCCCTCCCAGCCTATTGGCTGGTTCTAGACTGTTCCCCATCCTTTTCAAGCAGCTTGAGACAGCACAGACAACACGTTATTTGAAACTGGAATAACCTGACTCCAGATTTCTGAATGGGAGTTAGACCTGATGATTTAGCTTATAAGACTCAAAGGACATTCAGGTGTTACATCCATGGTAAAAAAGCACTAAGAAAAGCATAGACAGATGCATGCTTCACTATATCAAATGGTCCCTTACTCTGCTTTGCGTTTTGCTCCATATTGATTCTTTGGGGTTATTTGTTACTAAACCAAAGTCTTCAGGATAGGGGAGCCAGACTTCAATCTGTGGCTGCTAAACCTGCCCATCAGGACACAAGGGCAGTGATACATGCCCTTGTAGAAGGAGCACAGCCACAAAACGCTCAACTACAGCAATGGGGTTGTGAACTTACAGCAGCAAAGGAGTAAGTAATCCCCAACCATATGGTAGAGACTAACGGAGGAACAAACGTAAATGCCAGGAGAGCAAAGACTGGCAGAGTCAATGCAGCACAGCCAACAGCAAAGACGCCTCTCAGTCCAACGTAGTCCTGGTAAAGGAAACAAACAGAAGGCCTCTGACAAGGGATCCTTGCTTCCCACAGATCCTAGTGATAAGAGCGGCTGCGCAAAGTGGGCTGGCGTGAGTGGCAGCAACATCTCATTTCCTAGTTGTCGGTATCGTAGCAGACTAGCTATTACTAGTTCCTCTTGCATACTCCTGAACCGAGACTGAAACACTTGTCAGAGAAGCAGTGTCCAGTATTCATGTGAAATGGCAGGCTTTAATAAAGGGGAATGGAAAACACACCATTATGTCCTGACAATTATGGAAATAAGGAAAGGAAGAGTTTGACAAAACAGGGACTGATTACACGCAGGTTGTCCTTTCCCATCTACTTGCAAAGCTTATCCTGATCCTTTCTGTTCCAGTCTCAGACTTCTCAAAACATACAGCCATTTGCCATGGTTTGATGCTACCATAGCACAATTAAGGGCCAGAGGGAAAAACAGGTTAACATTACTTCTTGTAATTTATTTCAGATAAACTGCATCTTGCAGTTTGCAAGGAATTAAAGGACTGCTTGTTCAGCAACAACAGACTAAATTCTGGTTGAGGGGGTTGTAACAAAGACATTTCAAAAAATTAGGAAAAAGTTATCAGCAAACACTTCTGGTTTTGGGTACTCACAATTAATATGCCAACTGCTGCAGAGAGAACAAGGGAGCTGTCGTACACTGCCCCAGCAATATAAGCGGCTGCCTGCTGACTGTAACCAGAATATTTGTCCTGGATAAACTTGCTAAAAATAAAATGAAGGGGGGAAAAATTACATAATTAGGATTCTTGATCTGGTTATTTTGACAGAAAGTAAGTCTGAGCACAAACATATGGAGAGGAAGAGTTTTAATGAGAGGACTTGTAAACGAGTTTGATTCCATCTGCTTTGTAGTGCCAAGCCTTTGTTGTTTTATTTTCTTTTTAATTGGTGCACACCATAGAGAAGCTGGTAGCTTAAATGGCCACTTTCAAGACGGTTCTGCAAGTGCAGAGTAAAACTGCAGGTTAAAGTTGGGCATATATTCAAGTATATCAGCACAGCTCACAAGCAGCAATTTGCTGTCACCTGTCCAAAACATACAGATGGATTTTTTTTACATTCTCTTTGAAGAGGCAGAAAGCATTATCAATTCAAGGGTGGGAATGCTGAGGGGCAGGAAAAATATTTTAAAATAATCCGGCAGCAAAGATCAGCATTTAAATTGAACACCTGCATTTTAAAAGTACTAGGAATTCCCCCTTGGCATCTTCAAAGAGACTTCTGGTTAAAGCAGAAAACATACAAACCAAGTTTTGTTTTCATTGTCAGAAGTCAGCCTTTCACCTTTGTTAGGGACACGCAAAAATGGCATTAAAACTTACTCAAATTCTTTACAGAATTTACAGTCATACAGTTGTAATAGCTTAGAAAGATTAGTTTATTTAGAGATCTTGTAGCTACTTAAACCTGGTTTGGCTACTTGCATGGCTACTTACCATTAGTAATAATGAGCCTTTATAGCCTGTGCTGTCGGCAAAGTATGAAACAAGACACTGTTCCCTGACGATTTTCTGCAACAGAATTCACCAAAGAGCAGTGGCCTTGGGACTATTATTTTTCCGACTGGGAAGCAGCAGAGCATTTTTTGCCAGAAAAGATGTGTGAAACATGACCCTTGGTGCCTGAAGGTGCTCCACAGGGAGCAAAAAAAAATTCTGCAGGGAGGCAGAATTGCAGAAATGAGGTCTGTGTGATCAACAGACACTGTCTTCAGTTAAAATGAGAGGGCAACTGATAGAAAGCCCATCTCATCAAGGCCTTGACGATCCTTGCCATCTTGAATGTCTTTATTTTACTAATAAGAGGTCACTTGTACATTTGTTACAACAATGTTAATGACATTTCTTCACTCCTTATTTCACATTGGCTTACTATACATCACTAATGAAATACTACCAAAATAATTTCTTCTTTTTACTGCAGGCCTTTGCTAATATAAAAGTTCATACTCATTATGTGATAGAAGATGCATCATCCGTAAACAGGAAAAAAGCAGCAAAATGAGAAGTCTGTGGCAGAGCCACAGGACAGAAGCAGGAGTCCCAATTTAGTCAGGCAGGTTGCTTCTTTGTTTTAAGCAAATGAAGGCATAAAAAAGGAAGTCTACAAGCCTTGCACTGGGATGCAAAGGCTTCCTCACTTACAAACCCAGGCTCCTGCAAGCTTTGTTTTGTTGCAAACACAGCAGACAACATGCAGGAACTGCAGGACAGAACTGCCCCAGGCCTGTGAAGCTAATGCCCCACCCAGCTCAAAAGACAGCCACTTTGTTGGACTATCACAAAGGTGAAATGTCTACGGGCTATTTTTTAGATAAAGTATTTCTTCCCCTTCTCCCAAATCCTTCTGATCCTCCTTTAGCAGTGTTCCAAGCTTTAAATATTGGATGAATCATTTCCCTTTAAGTTATTTTTGCTTTCCTTCAGAAGCCTCCCTCACCTTTGAAGGGAAAGAAAGGTCAAAGAACCCTCATATTCTTTAACTAGGTGTTAAAGACATGTTTCTCTGTGTTTCATGAGTGGAAGAAACAAGCATATTACCCCCATATTTCCCAGTCAACTAAAAATCGAGGGCCTGGAAGGCTCTGATAGGCTTGTATCAGTCAGTGGGACTACAGCCATAGAGCAATACCTGGCGTCTGCCACAAAGGGGAAGACTCCATTGTAGAAGAACATGATGGTGAAGACCAGGAGCCAGTAGCGAAGGGGAAGTCGCCGGATGTCCTGAATGCGCTGCAAAGATAAGATGTGCCCTCACTCACCAGGAAATAGTCTTCAGCTTCACACTAATGTTACTTTCTGCAAGCCATTGAAGGTCACAAAAAATTTAAGAAGTAACAGCAGGTAAAAATGAGCTGCTCATGTACCTCTAAGTGAAATTTGGCATGTGCTGTCTCCAAAGCATTCCTTCCTTAACACTATTCAGTAAAGAAAACAAAAAAGGTTTTCTTATTATTTTTATAAAGGTTATGGCTGCAAAAGGCTATTCTAACCAGGCTCTATTAAGAGGCTACTGCAAAACCTTAAGTGAAATGATAACCAGGAGTCACAACACTGAGATACAGAAATCAGTAAGAACACTGTCATGAGAAGGAAGCTGTCTAATAGATTTAAGTGCCATAAAAATTGCAACCTATTGCCTGTAATGCTTGTTCCTGGCAGAAGAATGCAAGGAGGAATGGAAGATAAGGGCTGGCAAAAGATAGTTCAGTACTGACCAGGTTAGCTATTTTCTATCACGGATCCTGTGAGCTACAAAGCTGCTCCAGAGAGAGGCTACTATCTAGTTTTATGCACAAAATCTTCCTGTGAGCCACCTACAGTCAAGAAGTAACGGGCTCAGAAAAGTAATGCCGCTCAGAGTGCTAACTCAGCTCTCTGGAAGGCTGCAAATACATTCTGCTCTAAACAGAAAATTTAGACTTTGGTGGCTTGCAGATGCAATATCCTCAGATGTACCTGAAGAACTAGTCTGCAAGATTTAACCAAGCGGTGTTAATGCCCTCTTCTGGCCAGGACCAGCTCTACTACTGCAGGCTTCCCTGCACTGCAAAAGCAGTGCTCGTGCATCCCAGGCTTTCAAGATTGAGATGGAAAAGCTGTCTGTGCACCACATACCACTTTTTTGGATTCTTGCTGGATAACCCCATCCAAGCCCAGTTGCTTCATGCCCACTTTATCTAGTACACTGACTGTGAGGGCTGAAACAAACCCAAGCACGCAGAGCAGGGTACCTGGAAAAGATACAAGAGGTGTTAGAAATTCCTCAGTGTGGAGAGAGCCGAATGACAAAACCAACTGCATGTAACATGCAGAATTCTCTATGAGTCCTACTCCTGGCTTCTCTTAACATTAACAGCCTTCCCTACTGCAGCCATATAGCGGGACCATTTACCACTGACCACCCTGTCAGAGTCCTTGAGCTCTTTGTCCACTAAGCTTCCAATGCTCTGCAGAATTGCCTGAGGCCAGTGAAGCTAAAGCCCACCCATCCCTAAAGACAGCCACTTTGTTGGACTGTGGCCAGAATGCCTTCTAAACTGCAGCAGGCCTGCGCATAACAAACCCAGGGTTAAAACAAGCCAGACATTAAGAAACTTCCATGGTCCCATGAGCAGGAGAGGTATCACACACGGGCTGGTGCTGGAAGCCAAGTTATACCTCTTCATTTATGTGACCTGCTGCCGTTACTACAGCATTCTTACCTGTTAGCACACTCAGCTCCAGAGAAGCGAGTCAGATCATGCTGGGTATGCCAGAAGCAAGTTTGGCAATGGGCATCTGCTGCAGACGTCCTTCTCTCAAAAAGAGATCTGTATCTGTTTCATTTTCCAAAGAGCCAAAACAATCTCTGTGACGCACACACACTTTGTCTGATGTATTTATCCCTTCATGGGCTACTGAAGTCGCTGTGCTGTGCTTGCAAATGCTGCCTGAGCACAAAACTAATAGTATTAGGTGGGATGCAACACCCCATGCCTGTTCCAGTTTCTCCTCTTAGAGCTGGAATCAGAGGAGAGCAACAGGTTTCAATTTCTGCAAGAGAGTTACCTCACATATGCATCCTCTTTTCCAGGTGATGGCCCACACCGTTTTGTTGTTTGGGAAATAACACTTTCCTATAATCACTGAGTCTTTGCACACAAAGGATGCCCTGAGGCAGGTCTCCCTAACATTACCATTCCAGCACACCAGAGTACCTGAGTGCTTAACTGCACTGTGAAACAGATCATCGCTTCCACTAGGGACAGATCCCATCTCACTGCACCAAAGAGAGGACAGAAACTCAAATCTTCCAAAGATATGAGCCCTAGAACAGATTCACACTACAAAACATGTAATTCAGATTCTGCTTCTCACAATAATTTAAACCTACAGTTTTGATCAGTCCACGTGCAAGGCATCTTACACTGAGACCAATACAGATACTACTACAGAACCAGCACGTTCTGATAGCTAAAATATAGAAGAACAAACACACTAGATTCCTCTTCTGTATCACTCTGAAGCTTCCATTCCATGGGAGTAAACCTGTATTAAGTACTGACTACCTGTGACTGCAGATGTATCTCAAGAAAACTGCAGACAAAACTGTCAGGCTGACACTACAGCTTTAGAGAGGGTTTTCAGGCATCAGTGAAGAAAACACCAGTCCATTGCACACAGAAAGCAACAGGAAAAACTGGAAAATAATGTGTCTCCTTCTGCTAACTTGCCTATCTTTTTCAGGTACTTTTCATAACTGGATGAAACAGGCTAGCCTCAGGTCTAGAAAACAAAAGGCCACAGCACCGAAGAAACTCACCTCCCCAGAGTGTCCACTGCATTCCAAATTTTGCCTCAAACTGCTGGGTGAAGAAGAAGTTGAGGACACTCCCAAGACGGGAGAAAGACAGAGTCAGTCCAAATGCCAGTGCCAGTTCCTTCCCCTTGAACCAGAAGGCTGTGATACGATTCTGCACAACTTGGAGAAGGCAAAAATTCTCTCTTGAACAGACAGGCTTGGCCAAGAGCATTGCACAGAAGCAACAAACACAGCCCCTCAAGCTAGAGTGCTTGAGCTGGGGCAAGAGACCACTACACATCCCAAGTGGAGGTAGTATGTGTCAACTTCGCCGTCCATTTTAAAACGTACTAAATCATGCTGGGACATGGGAGGTGAACTTATCCCTCAAATAAGGCCAGCAAAAATAGCCCCAAAGGCATAGCAATCACATGTCAGTCCCCACCCTTGGGTGAAGGACAAACTTGTAAGAGGGGAAGACTTTTAAACATTTCAGCACACATTAAATCCATGCAACCCTTCAAGGAGCAGTGTTCTTCTGTTAGCAATGTAGGTTCCTGGTGCAGAGCAGGTGAAGCTGACTGGTAGGACAAGGCTCTAGGAAGCAAAATAAAAATGTACCATGACCCTCTGGTGAGGCGTAATTAAGAATGTGAATTCCTTACTAGTAAGTGACCCATTCCCAGAGCCAAAGAGCAGTCTTCCTGTTAGCATCATTGGTAGGAGGTATGGCGACCCCTTGAAATGTGAGCCTAGAGCAAAGATTGATGATCCCAGCACAGTCAGAAGAGAGAAAACAAAGACACCAACTAGGGAGAAACAGAAAAAAAATACACAAACCTCAACAGACATGCTGAGATCAGGACAAAAGCATTCTTTGTCAAAAAGCAAAAGAGCCAGTAAACCTGTGGTCTTCCATCAGTTTACCCTCATTATTTTAATTTTGTAAAGGCTGGTCTCTTTATAAAATGACCTGGGTATCCTCAAAATAATGATGATATTATCATGGTGGAAGGTTGGAGAGGCAGAATAAGTCAGACAGAGTACTCTGAACTCTACAGAGTCTCTGCCCTGAGCTTTACTACAGACTATGGCCTAGAGCAAGCGATCTCCTTCTCTGTGCCTCTGTCTCCTCACCTGTGAGATGTCTACCTCTGTGATACAGAGACAGAGCACAACTGCATTTGCTAGGACTGCTGGGTCTTAGATTATGGCGCACGCCAGAACAAATGCCAGAGAAGGGAACAGAACACTGTATCAGTTTGTCCCGTCAAAAACAGATAATGCTATTCCCTGTTTCATGCGTGTCAGAGGAAAGCACATTTACTGCACTGCTGTGTAAATTCAGATAAGTCAGTGGTCAAAGGATGAAAACGTCTTGGTTGCCTCCATGGAGCTGCTCAACTAACCGTCATGCACTCCACACACAGAGCTGTCCCTCCTCTCCCATCCCTCTGTGATCTCACAGAAGTGGAACCTTTGATCATCCCTTTGCACTGAAAGAACAGCCTGAAATCCCACTTCAGTACAAGAATAAATTAATCGATCCTCAGAACTTACAGCGATTTCCTAGTTTATCAATCAGGAATCCTGCCAGAATAACCACTACTGCATTTCTAGGAGAAAACAAGAACAGAAACATTTGTGTCTTGCTGCTGGGAAGCAACTAGCAAACCGCCCCGCCCCGCCAAAGCAAGAGAAAAGTGACTTACGTCCAAGCATAGATCGCATACAGCAAATTGTATTGTGCAGGTGTCATTCCCAAGCCTTCAACACAGTCCAGCGTGCTATTATGCCCGGTGCTGTTATGATGGGTTCCATTGGGGCAGGTCAAGTTCTGCATGACAAGAGCCTGGGTTAGGCAGCAGACACAGATGAAAACCCACACGTTCCTTTAAAAATTAAGTTAAGTTCTTGCCTACTAGATTTCTATTTCTCCTACTCAGTTCCCATTTCCACAACCAGGAATTAGAGGACTTGTGTCTTCTCCCAGGAAGCCAGCCCTTGCCAAATGAGAAATGACCGGCCATTGGCACGGCACGTCTTCCCTTTCCCTTTCTGTGGCAGTAGCAGCAGGGGCTCAGCACTTTCATACACATTTCAGTCCAAAAGAAAAGCCAGGAGACTGCACCATGAGGTTTATTTGATCCGATAGTTTCTTGGCTATAGTTTAGCTTGATCTGACTCTTCATTACATACTATAAAGTCTTAAGCAGTGTGTAAATATGAAACTTAGCGGTAGACCACATTAATTCACAGTTATAAAGCATTTGCTGAACAGTAGGAAACTGGTAGTCCTACCATGATTTAATAACGTTGGTTTTGCTACTGAAAAGCAACATCTCCTCAACACCATATGATCAGGAAAAAACCCTAGATCTTCCAACTACTAAAAATCTACCTGCGTTAGGAAATGGACGCTATGTCTTCCACACCAGTAGGCACAAGCTTAACATCTTGAATAAGCACAAGGAAAGCATGATTTTAACCACATGATTTTTATACAGCCATCATATTTACAAACCCCTCATATCTGCTGCAGTAGAAATGTCCGAGGCTGCGGGGCAACAGTTCTCTAGAACAAAGTGTTTTCACTGCAAGTACTGGTCTTAGATGCTCCGACTACCACTGTACCACTCGCGTAAGGCAGGCAGAGGCTAAATTCGCCAGAGTAAAAATATGATGAGAGTGTCAACAGATAAAAACACTGTTTGCACAGTACCTAACACAGAAAAATATGGCTTGGTTTCACTACCCTATAAAGTTACCTAGATAACAAAATACGACATAACCTTTCCTTTACTCCATAAATAAATAACTGACTCTTCTCCCACAGACCTACAGAAGTTGTGCAGGATCAAGAATAAATACTGACCTATTTTTTTCTTTTTACTCCTGTTTGCAATGACAAACTGCACCCAATTTAGCCTGGAGTTCACTGCCTGAATGTTATGGATTAACTGCATTTAAAAAAAAAGTTACATGCAAGCTATATATATTTCTGCCCTTGCTATTGAAGCGGACAAAGGAAGTGACTCTCAGCCTACACATACTAATCTACCCGCAGATGGCACACATGAGTAAAATCATCTCAGAAGACATGAAATGAATGCAATGACGACACATAAATGAGTAAAGTAAGAATTTGTCAGGTATTCAGGAATGGTGGTAAGAACTTTGGGACCCCGGCACCCCTGGAGAAACCCCAGAAATCAAGTGGGATATCAGTCTGAACCCTGAACAACAACATTTTCAAACAACATTTGAGAATATGACTAGTTTTTACATGACAGAGTCCTCCTGTGATCTCCTGGCACTGCTCTGTCTTTCGGGTAGCAAACAAACGCATGATGTGATACTTGCAGTATCAGGAGGCTTGGATCTGAAGACCCTGAAAGTCTTTTCTCGTCTCCTATCTCCAACATCACTAGTCTTCCAGTCCAGTGTAGGTACTAATGGTCAACTCTACGTACCTTCTATGTGCAGAGTGGTGCAAGCGCTATCCTAACTCTGAATTTCCTAAGTGTAGCAGACAGTCTTTTGGTAGGAGAGCTGACCATCAGTGAGCAAGGACAGGTTTTAGATTTCCAGTTCTCCAGGCAGTGGTGAGAACTCAAGCCCCTCACGCCTGTCCCAGCTTCGTGCGCCTTCGCAGCAAACATGCCAGCAATAACCCCTCACCCCCAGCATCTGCAACGTAAGACCTTGGCGCACGACTCCTATACTGACACCGTTAAGAAAAGGTTTTGAAACTCTACCAGCGACCAAGGCCTCCATTTTGCCGGTTCTGCCGTTTTTTGCCCGCCCCGCTGCCGGCCCGCGGCCCAGACGCAGGCCCAGCACTCACCCCCTGGAACTGCTCCTGCAGGACGCTGGGGATGTCGAAGCAGAAGTAGGAGCCGAAGGTGAGGAGGCAGTTGAAGAGGAGCACCGCGAACCTGTAGGAGGCTGCGGGGCAGAGAAGACCCACCTCACCTCACCTCACCTCACC